AACATAATGACAACATCATAGAATTTTTAAGATCAATTTAAAAACATGCAGTGTGTAATAAATAAAGCTGTATATCATTGTATTTCCCCAGCATTTCACAGGGAATGCAAAGATGGAACAATATTACTCTGACGCAAGGGAACCTAATTAGCACTAATAGTGGGAGGATGGCATATGAGAGCAGAAGCTCAATATCATATCACGGAAAATATCCTAATGGACAGACAGATCTGTTAATGGAGAATTCCCAGGAGAAGTGATGTTAATGCAATTGAAATATGTAATGAAGAGGGAAGAGAATACAAGGAGAAATAAATGTACCATTTGTCTATGCGACCCTGCATAGAGAAGATTCTACCTTAAACATTTCATCTTTATTTTGGAAGCAGAAATAAACTAGCATTGATATATTCTTAGTGAAGAAATATCTAGAATGAGAGCAGAAATAATTAAAACTAGATTTTGTTTTCATTTTCCTGGTGATGTTAAAGTCATGCATTCTAGACATTCCCAGAGGAGGCTCATATTTTAAGTTATTCTTATTAACTTTCTTTAAAATTTACATACCATATTATGAAAATACTACAAAAATGATCAGAAGCATGCATTAAGTACGCTAGCAAAAAAACAAACAAACAAAACCAAAAATCTCCAAAACCCAGAATTCTGAGGTCAAACAGATATCTCTTTATACTAAGAATGCACTATGAACATTTACACAATGGAGTACTATGTAACTGTTAGAAAAGACGAAGTCATGAAATTTACATACAAGTGGTACTACATGGAAAGTATCATGTTAAGCCAAATGACTCGGAAAGAAAGGGATAGACATAGAAAGATTGCATTCATCTGGGGAACATAAAATAACAAAATAGGAGACTAACACCCAAAAATGGCCGAGATTAGTACCAGGAATTTTGCTCCATGGCTTGGAGGCCAAACACACATGCTAGGGGAAAAGGGAGCTCAGATAGAGAAGGGAGCACCAAATAAAGGTGTTGGGAGGATCCTCCCAGGATGGGAGAAGCATGCTGAAAGTGGACTATAGACCAAATATGATTGTCACCCATTGACTCTTTTGCAAACCACAACACCCAATAAGAGAGAGAGAACAAAAGGGAATGCCCTGCCACAGAGGCAGGGTGGGATGGGGGATATGGAGAGTGGGAGGGATACTGGGATCCGTGGTGGTGGGAAGTGGGCTCTGGTGGAGGGATGGTATTTGATCATTGTATAATTGAAACCCAAGCACAAAAATATTTTAAGTCTGCAACTGTACCTCATGATGTCTCACTAATACAAATTTTAAAAAAAGAATGTACTATGAATAATGTTTGATGATGGAAATAAATTTTTAAAGCACTTCTTTTCTTACTGTGATAGATGTTGAATAAGAAGAACAAATCAAGTGAGACAATCTTGTCAGAACTTTCTTATAAGTATGATAATCTAGGGACTGGAGAGATATTGCAAGGGTTAAGACACTTGCCTTCTACAAAGCCTACTTAGGTTCAATCTCCAGCACCTCTAGGAGTGATAACTGAGCATAGAGTTAGGACTAAGTTCTGAGCATCATCTGTTGTGCCACTCCTCAAAAGTATGATAATATAGTTTCTAACCCAATGATCTACAAAACAGACTACTTTGTATTACTAAATTTGGAAAACAGTTTTCCTGTCATACTGTTAAAAATATTATGTGATGGAAAATTCAAAATAATACAGTAAGCTAAATACCTTAAGACATTCACTGAATTAAGCTTGGATATATTAACCAAAGGTTCAGCATGTAATTCTGTCTAGTTTCTATTAGCCAAATGAATTTTTTTACCTTTAATACAAGAAAAAATTTTAGGGCTGAACAGTATTTTTCCCTTTGTAGGTTATCAATATATATGTGAATTATTCAGATTTGTTTACTTAAAAGGGGTGGTTAGGCCACTGAACCAATTTCATCTTGTGCAAGAAACTCATTTTTACTGAACATTTAACTTTAAAATGAAAACTCTTTATTGAATGGTGAGAATCAATTTCCAGGTAGACAGCATAGTCTAAGAATTTTGCATACATCTTTTTCCCTGGTTCTCCTAAATAGTCACCACGTTCAATTTAGTACAATCAAAAGTCAATGAACTCTAGAGTACTGAACCTAGTTCATGATCAATCACTTCTACAGTTTCATCCTTCTTTCTGTTTTATTTCTTAAAAATTTCTTTTAAAAAGACCCTTTTTGGATTTTGGATACAATTTGGAAAATGTGTTTCCCAAGTTACAAATATAACCACCCACACAAAATAAATGCCATTATTTATTGTTAGCATCACCATGTTTTTCTGAGTTGACAATTGTGCAATGCTAAACTTCCTCAGGTCTTCTTTTTGCTCTGGTTTATACAGATATGACTAGAACATTTAGAATTTAAATCAATGTGCAAATAAGGGATTAAGGAGGAAAGCATGTAATGGCTGTAATATGAGTGAGGGTTATTGTGAAAAGTAATCATAGGGAAGTACCTACCTAATTATACACATTATACCTATAGTACACCCATTAGATATGTTTGTTTAAATTTGCTGACCATAATCTAGGACATGTCAATGTAGCTGATGTAAAATACTTTCTTATTTAAGAAATATTCAGATAAACAATTGATCTGGAACCTGAAACTTGTGAGAAAAAAAAAACCCTGGAAATAGAATTTTAAGTCTACTACTAAAGAAATGAACAAATCAACCTGGAAATATTCCATAAATACCAAAAGAATCTTTGGAAATAACAGTCTTTCTATTTAGTGAAAAAAGTCAAAATAAAGGTATAGGCAGTTGCCAAAATAGGCAATTCACCGTGCAGTGTCAAAAGCCACCATGTGTTATACTTAATGATCTCTTTTGTGTTAGAACATCCGATTCACAGGGTGTTTGCAAATCAAAATTAAAATCTAGTAATTGTTAATTTTCTGTGGGCATAATGCCACATTCCTATAAGTTCAAAGCAATTATTTATGCAATTATAAAGTTGCTTATGTTTCCTTAGCAAAACATCTGCTAAATTATATTTATGATATAATAGTATTGTTGACATCGAGATATTACTACACTATGGGTTCTTTAAGACAATGTTGTAATATTGAGATATTACTAATAGGGTTAAGAGAGATAATATAGCAGATGAGGTCCTTCCTTTGCGCATGACAGACTTGGGTTTGTTCTCTGACACCACATGTAGTCCCATGGGCCCTGTCAGGTGTAATCCCTGATCACAGAGCCAGGAGTAAGCTCTTAGTACTGCCAGGTGTGTCCCAGTCAAAAATTATGATTACTAAGGTAAAAAGGTAAAGGCCCTCCCGTTGATCGTCAATTTACTCGAGCAGGCCCAGTAACGTCTCCATTGGAGACTTTGTTGTTACTGTGTTTGGCATATCGAATACGTCATGGGGAGCTTGCCAGGCTCTGCCGTGCGGGCGAGATACTCTCGGTAGCTTGCCAGGCTCTCCAAGAGGGGCAGAGGAATCGAACTCGGGTCGGCCATGTTGGCCGCTTGTAAGGCAAATGCCCTACCACTGTGCTATGATTTTCTTGAGATAAATAGCCTGGCATGCATAGTAGCTCTGATACATAGTAAAATAGAGGGTCTATAAAATAGATGCAATGAAAGTGTTACTATTTATTGTTAAATAAGTATTCCTTCCTTCCTTCCTTCCTTCCTTCCTTCCTTCCTTCCTTCCTTCCTTCCTCCCTTTCTTCCTCCCTTCCTTTCTCCCTTTCATCCTTCCTCACTTCCTCCCTCTGTCTCTCTCTCCCTTTCTCCCTCCTTCTCTCTCTATTTTTCTTTCTCTTTCTTTCTTTCTTTCTTTCTTTCTTTCTTTCTTTCTTTCTCTTTGGAAGGGTTGAGTTTTGGGGACACTCACAGTGGTGATCAGGCTTACTCCTGTTTCTTTGTTCAGGAATCAACTCTGTAGTTCTGGGGATTGAATCTGGGTCAACTGTGTACAAGGGAAGTCCCCCTACCTGCTGTACTCTCCCTCTAACTAACTCCTAGAAGCTGTAAATTTTTCATGGATAAAACTTAGAAAACTGAGGAAGTACTTACTTGTGTTCCAATATCAGTTATAAATTTGAACTTTGTCAAAAGCTGTATATGTTTATATAATTATACATTAATATTAAAATATTTGTGTGATAAATTTTTGTAGGATTTCTCAATATTAAATTATATACTTTTATAACAATTTTTATTGAGCTGTCATTGGTTTGAATAATATAGTGTATAAAACTTTTATTATATATATAAATGTTTCATATGTGCAGCATTATAATTTGACTTTCGTATGTAGTACATTGTGATCATCACTGAAAGTCTATTTTCTATCTACCACAATACAATTGATTTCTTTTTATCAATTTAAAGATCTGATCCCCTCTCCTTTCCCTTCTACTAGGTACTATTTTGTAGCAGATAGGGTGCTTGCCTTCTACATAGTGGACCAGGGTTCAATTGCTGACATTCAATATTGTTCTCTGCTTGCAGAGCCAGAAGTCAGTCCTGAGCATCACCAGGTATGGCCTCCAAAAAAAAAAAAAACAGTATAGTCTGATTTATGGGCTGGAGCAATTGCCTTGCATGTGGCCGACTCAAGTTCGATTCCTCCGCCCCTCTCAGAGAGCCCGGCAAGCTACCAAGAGTATCCCACCCACACGGCAGAGCCTAGCAAGCTTCCGGTGCAGTATTCGCTATGCCCAAAACAGTAACAACAAGTCTCACAATGGAGATGTTACTGGTGCCTGCTCGAGCATATTGATGAACAATGGGAGGACAGTGCTACAGTGCTATCCGAGAATTTGTTTATTTTTTAAATACATGGTTATTTTTCTTTATAATTGATCTGTGATAGCAGGCTGTCATTCACATTGCAAATGACAAGATTTGATGTTTTTAAAATATCTGAGTAGCACTCCACTGTATATACACAGACTTTAATATAAACTTTTAGTGCATAGGTTCTTTTTCCAGTTCATAAGCCTAACAATTGGGTATTCACACACTTGTGTGATGTGTACCTTCCTTAAATCTTGTTATGCAATTGGCACATTACCCATCTGATGTGAAAAAAAATTTAGTACAAGAATCAGAGAAATGGTACAGGGATAAAGCCTACCCAGGTTTGATCCTGGCACAACATGTGGTCCTTGAAGTACTGCCTATCACTGAGTACAGAGGTAGGAGTAAATCCTGAGAACTGTTTGGCATAAACCTCAAAAAACAAAGCAAAATAAAACATTAAAAATTATAGCAGAAGAGTTATACATTTATGGAAATAAAGAAATATACAGAAATAGAAAAAGTTTTAAATCAACATAAAGGTTGAGAGGAAATAGCATTCTTTAGAGACTGAAGAGATGGTTTAGGGAGTAAATCCCTTGCCTTGTATGTAATGCATCCTGATTTCAATCCCAGGCACTGTGTATAGCCCTTTGAGCACCAACAGGGATCATTCCTGAGCACAGAGCAGAAACAATCTCTGAGAACTGCTTGGTGTGGCCCCAAGCCCCCTTTCTCACAAAAGATAATTCTAGATTCCTGATGGCACAAATATCTGTAAAAGAAAAGGAGGGAAAAGACAGTGAATACTTGTGCAGGTAAAAGTACTTCATTTTATTTATTTTAGAATTGAACTATTGTACTAGTATCAAGTGATCTGGAGTTTGCATTATATGTAACAATAATGTTAACATTCATCTACAAAGAGTACAAATATAAATCAATAAATATTCCTTACCCTGATGCATGAAATGACAGAAACAAAGAGACTTTTCTGAATGATTGTAAGAAGCTTATTTTACCTTCCATAGTCTCAATTCACCATGTCATTTTATTTTTTATTGTAGCACTGTCCCCCCATTGTTCATTGATTTGCTCAAGTGGGCACCAATAATGTCTCCAGTTTGAGACTTGTTGTTACTGTGTTTGGTATATCAAAAACACCATGGGTGGCTTACCAGGCTCTGCCATGCAGGCGGGATACTCTCGGTAGCTTGCCAGGCTCTCTGAGAGGGGCAGAGGAATCGAACCCGGGTTAGCCACATGCAAGGCAAACACCCTCTTGCTGTGCTATTTTTTATTATTTTGAAAAATTATTTTTTTATTTTTTTAGGGATCATACCAGGCTGTGCTTGGGGTTTAGGAGACTATGGGTGTAAAATCTTATCACGCTGAAGGTTGTATGTTCACGGGCTCACTGGATGACACTGTCTCACGGCCTGCATTTGGTGCTCTTGAGCCGCTGTGTGTGGCCTGGATCAGAACGGATGTTGGTCAAGGGCAGACGGAAGAAGAAACGAGGAACAGGCCGGTCTGTAATAATAGTAGTTTATTCCAATCCTCTTCACTCCTGTCTTTCTCTGCCTCCTTCTCTCCTGGGCCCCAATCTTGGAACCTCTCTCCTTCTGGCTCTGACTCTGGATCTCTGGAGCCCAAGCTCTCTCGCTTCTGACTCCCCTCTCTGAGCTTATGTTCTTAGTTTATATAGCAGTCACATAAGGCGGTGACATAAAGGTGGGTTGAATACTGACGAATCAACAAAGAGAGGTAACACCACTCCTCCAGGAGATTAACTCAAGGATAAAATCTCATCTACAGAGATTACTTCAGATTACTAGAAGATCCACTCAAGGGTGGGATCCCAACAAGGGTGTGTTCTTCCCTCAGTTAGTAATCTACTTAAATAGTTGTAATAAATCTACTTCTAATATTTCTAGCAATGTCATTCTGTATGAGCACAGTAAGAGATATAAATTTAGTTTGGTTCTTCCTGAGAACATCTCACTATACATTCCGCAGTCCTCAGGCCAGGTTAATCTTCCTAGCTCCAGCAGGGTCCTAGTGTCGTCGTTACTTACTTTTGGATCATGACAGCATTTGTCCATGATCATGCCCTCAACTTATAGTTGAGTATCGTGGCTCTTTGGCCTGGCCCATTTCGATGCCAGGGTAGCTCACTGCTTGCCCTGGGTCCATTCAGTCCCTCGTTGGGACCCTGCTTTTGGGGTGCTAGGAACTAAGGGCAACTGAGTCAAGAAATCAGATGCCCAGGAGTAAATATTATTCGGAGTCAATCAACTCCCAAGTTACAAAGCATAATATTAACTGTCTTCCTGTGTCCACACAGAAAGGACATTGCTTACAATAGAAGTTCAGTGTCCTTAGATGGGTGTGACCTGACAAACTTAAGTTACCTAAGGAAGGACAAAAGAGTGTTATCCTACATATGGGTTCCTGGGGCATCAATCCTAGGTCAAGGCAGGTTCTTTACCCTTGTGCTATTTCTCCAGCCCTCATCACCATGTCATTTTAAATCTTTCATATTAAGCTGGCTATATAACAATAATTAAGAATGGCTGCCAACTTTTACATTATTTCTTGTTGGAGTGTGCTGTGTAACACCATTAGAGTATAATCTATATTTCCTGCTAAGACTCAAGTGCGTCTGGCTGGCAAGGTTAGTGGACCTGCTGTATATTTGCATGATTAAAGAAAGCTTCCTGGGAAAAGCTCATAGTCCAGAAGGAAAAGGAAGGAAGGAAAGGCTTGGCTTAACAGATGCTTCAGGAATCTTAATTGTATGTATAGCATCTTGTCAAATTCAAGTTTTTTCCTTATTTACTACCCTATAAGTCTTAGAGAAACTGAGAATGAATGTCCACAACTTTTTTGTAGTGTGGAAAATCAACCCAAGATCTAGACAATCTTATGGATGAAACAATTTTTTTAAGGAAAGATGCAAACATGCATCAGAGCCCTAATGCTCTGGCAATCTGGAAGCATCCTGCTAGGAATTTATAGGATTGGGAAACTAATAAGGGACGTTTAAGATACAAATGTGCATCATGGCTGCATATACCTGGCAAAGCAAGAAATGACCCGCTAGAGATATGTAAGCTTATTAAGCAGATTTCTGATTACTGTAAATCATATGGCCTGGCAGGGAGTACTCTGTTCAGAAAAACAAGTCAATCTCTTACTTTAAGAGTATACAGGGGCCAGGTGAGATAGCACATCGTGAAAAACATACAATTGGCCTGAGTTTGAACCCTAGCACCTCATATAGTCCCCTTGGGACTGCCATAAGTCATCTGTCATTCCTGCAAGTTGTGGAGTAAGTCTTGAACATAACAGGTCATGACCCAAAAAACGAAAGAATGAAATAAACATTCAGTGTGCAGGCTGGTTGCTCACCTACCATGCCCCTGTCTGTGTAAATACTTTGTATCTGAAAAGATAAGTATTGACTGATGTGTGGAGAATGAAGAAATGTGGAGCTGACTAAATAAAATGGCAAGGTGGCCCCTCATTTGGGACTGTATAGGTGACCTCTCTGTCTGGACACACCACTGTGTCCCTTTCATTCTTTACTAGATACTGGAGGAAGGAGCAGAAGGTGCTGGCCTGACTAGCTGTGGAGTGGTGATCTAGGTCATGGAGCACTAAATAGCTCTCATCTCTAGACTCAAAGTCAAAAGGGAAAGAATTTTCCCCTTTCTGGGGAGAATAGCTTTAGTACTTAAAAATTTCCTAAAAGTTAACCACTTTTTACCATCAGAAGATGAGAAGAATTTTAGTGTCACAAAGATTGGCTTCTGCAGATGCAGTCTTTAAGCAGTAATGTAGGCATTATGGGTTTGTAAGTTGCCCAGGTAATATTGGAAATAAAGATTTAAAGAAAAGCTAAGGATCCCAAAATTGTGGTTGGGGGCCCCAAAGCTAGAAGGTAATGTATTGTCACAATTAAGGTGCCCTGTAAGTATATTCAACCCTGTTCCATTGGCCTGCGGCTCTGCCTTTGTTCCAATGCCATGCTGTTTTAATTATTACCATTTTGTAGTAGAGTTTGGCATTGGGGAAGGTGATGCCTCCCATGTTCTTTTTCTCAAGAATTGCTTTAGCTATTTGTGGGGATTTGTTGTTCCATATGAATTTCAGGAGTGTTTGATCCATTTCTTTGAAGAATTTCATGGGTATTCTTATAGGGATTGCATTGAATCTATATAATGCTATGGGAAGTATTGCCATTTTGACAATGTTAATTCTCCCAATCCATGAGCAGGGTATGTGTTTCCATGTCCTCGTGTTCTATTTTATTTTTTGAAGTAGTGTTTTGTTGTTTTCTTTTACAGGTCCTTTACCTCCTTAGTTAAGCTGATTCCAAGTTATTTTATTTTCTGAGTCATGGTTGTAAATGGGATTGCTTTTTTCATATTGCTTTCTTCTCTCTCATTATATGTCTTAAACTAAGAAGCTTCTATACTTCAAAAGAAACAGTGACTAGAATACAAAGACAGTCTACAGAATGGGGAAGGATATTCACCCAATACCCATCTGATAAGGGGTTAATATCAAGGATATACAAGGCACTTGTTGAACTACAAGAAGAAAATATCCAATCCCATCATAAGATGGGGCGATGAAATGAACAGAAACTTTCTCAAAGAAGAAAAATGAATGACCAAAAGACACATGAAAAAAGTGCTTTTTATCACTAATCATCAGGGAGATGCAGATCAAAACAAAAATGAGATATCATTTCACACCACAGAGACTGGCACACATCTGAATGAACAAAAGCAAGCAGTGTTGGCATAGATGTGGGGAGAAGGGGACTCTCCTTCACTGCTGGTGGGAACGCTAACTGGTCAGCCCTTTTGAAAAACAATATGGACTTTTCTCAAAAAATTAGAAATTGAGCTCCCATTTGACCCAGAAATACCACTTCTATGGAGTTGTACAGTAGAAATGATATCTGTACTTGTATGTATATTGCAGCACTATTTACAATACCCAGAATCTGGAAAAAAAAACCGAGTATCCGAGAACAGATGACTGATTAAAGAAACTATGGTATATCTACACAATGGAATACTATGAAGCTGTTAGAAAAGATGAAGTCATGAAAGTTGCATATAAGTGGATCTACATGGAGAGAATCATTTTACGTGAAATGAGTCAGAAAAAGAGGAACAGACATAGAATGACTGCACACATTTGTGGAATATAAAGCAACATAATGGGGAGACCAACACCCAAGTGTAGTATAATAAGGACCAGGAGG